CTAGTAAATATTGAGAGTACGATATGTAAATTATAGTCTACTATTTTTCTTCTGGAAGAATCTCTGAATTCCAGAAATACATGTATATATGTGCGTGTTTGCATGAGAGAATGCTCAGTGCTTTTTTCATTACTCCTCTCAATCAGGCTCTAATATTTGTTTTGGGGATCTACTATTGGTGATAGGTAGGAAAAACATTAATACTTAATTGCAATTCTGATATCACCTTTCCTACAGTTTATTTATGATCTGTAGTATATAAATTAAAAGTAGTAGCTTGTTGGCTTTTCATTTCTTTCTCTGAACTAGTCTCAAGCATGATCATCTGTCTCAGAAGAAGCTTATACCAAGCATATGTAAAACATGAATTCTGGCCTCCGCTCTGAGTTTCCTGAATCTGGTTCTCTGGTTCTGGAGCTCCCTGGTCTGTATTTATAACAAGTGGCTTGTTATACTGGAGATTCCAGTGTTCACTCAAGCTTAAGAACCACTGCCCTGGGGTGCTTAGCAGCCAAATCCAGGACTTTCCTGTAATGGGCATGTGTTTTTGGAACTGGTTTGCTCCATCAGATCAATAGAGCATGAACATTTCAAATGTTAGGGCATAAGATTCACTTGTGACTCATCAAACACCATGTGTTTGTTGTAGATGCCTTACATAGATAGGTGATTACATTCTTTGGATAAGCACTTAAAAAACTAAGAATGATTTTTTCCAACTGTTAAGTAAAATCAAACAAAAGGCATATAGGACTAGGGATGTAGCATAGTGGTAGAAAGCGTACCTAGTATGTGTAAGACCTTGAGTTTAACCCCCAGAACTGCACATTAGAAAAAAAAAAGATTGTTTTAAAAAACTTCTTTGTCTTCTTATTTTTCTTTTTTAATTGAAAGAACTAAAATCAGCATACTACAGTGATACATTCATACCAATGTTTACAGCAGCGCAATCCACAGTAGATTATCATGGAACCAGCCTAAGTGGCCCCATCAATAGATGAATGGATAAAAAAAATGTCATATGTCTACACAATGGAGTTGCATTTGGTCATAAAGAAGAATGAAATCATGTCACTTGCTAGTAAATGGAACTGGAGAACATGTGCTAAGTGAAATAAAGCAGACTCAGACAGTCAAGAGTCTAAAGTTTTCTCTCACATGATGAAGTTAGAGAGAAAAAAGGAATAAGAAAAGGGATCTAGCAAAAATAGAAGGAAGAGCATTAGAGGAGAAGCAGGGGGCTAAGACAGAGAGGGAAGAAGGAGGGAAATGGGAAGAACATAGTTGAACAAAGTTGACCAAATTATGCTACATGCTTGTAGGAATGCATCACCATGTATTTTGGTTTTATATATAACTATAATGCACCAATTAAAATATATAAATGGAAAAACAATGGAGTACATACAGAAAGGGGATCAGGAGGGGAGAGGAGGAGAGAGAGAAGGAGAGTACCAGGGATGGACATGGAAAAAACTATTGCACACTTATTTATATATCAAAATGAACCCCACTTTATGTAGAGCTACAATGCACTAAAAGGGCATCTGTAATGAACCTCAAAATTTAGTGATCACTACTGTTAAGGTTTATATTGTCATTTATAACAATTATTAGTCTCCTATTCTAAATATAGCTTCTAACCTAGATTTTACATTTAATTTTAAATTGTATCATGCTTGAATAAAATGAATGAAAGTTGGAAACAACAACATTTAGTCACAAAAGTTTATTATTTTAGTATATTCTTGAAGGATTTTTTTTTAATCAATACTTATTTTAGCTTTTTAGCCTCTAACCTTAAGCACTATGACCAAATCACAATTGAGTGGGGGGAAGAAAAGTAATCTCTTTGTGAGCTGTTACTGAAATAATTATCTCAGCAACTGATTCTTTTTAGAGTAATGACATCTGTGGAAGCCTTTCCTCTGTCCTTTCTTCTTTTTCTTTCATTGTCTCATATTAAGAACCATATGAAAATATATTTTATTAATATCACTCAAAATGTTATTTTAGTAGACAGAAATCTAAAATGATGATATGTGATCTTTTTCAGTTTTTTTAAAATTGATAATGGCTACATGGATTTTATACCCATTTAAGTCTACCCACTCAAATATAGGTGAAATGTAGGTGAAACTCCAGTTACCTCTTCAATTATAAAAAACAAATACTTTTCCTAATCAGACAGTTTTTTTTCCCTTTTCATTAGACACATTTTTCAAACATCAGTCCATGGAGAAAGAATAATAACATAATAAATGCTTGGCCATGTTAACATTTAAAACTTAGCTATTTTTATTTTATTTTTTTTAGAAAAATTGCTAGATAATCTTTTAATGGGAATTATAAAATTAAAATCTTTTGCAACAGACTTTTAGGAAACAAATAATTAACTCTTAATTAAAAACCTTTATATGGATGATGCCTTATTTTGCAACATCAATACATGAACAAATTTTAAATATAATTTGTCTAAGATATTTGAAAGAGGGGAAAAAAGAGCCTGATTTTATTTGGTATTTCTAAATCAGAATTTATTCCCTACCCTTTCAAAGGCTAAGTTGAGAGGTCTGACTCAAATGGAGAAGAAACAGTGAATGGGACAAAGCGTGCAAGAGAACAAGAGAGAGACCATCTTCTGCCTGCTTTAAATAGCTTTTGGTAACAATTCCGAGGCCACTTTTCTTTTCTGGGACTCACAGCTTCAAAAAATAGCCGATTTTGAAATGTTTCTAAGGAACAGATTCATGAATAAAAAGAACATATGCATCCAACATATAAACTTTACCACAATTCTGCATATCAAGCAGATTACTAACTTCAAAAAGATATGAAGAGTGAGGGAAAGCCTGAATTATAGAAAAGTCAAATATCTTTGGTGAAAGAATAGAATTAATAAAATCAACAAAGACTCTCATAGCACAACAGCATTATATATTAACCCACAAAGAGGAAAAGTAGTGGTCATTTTAAAGGCCTATTCATCAGATCAAAAGGATATTCAAAACCCTCTCTTCTAGCTCTTTGGAAATACATACTATATTGTTAACTATAGCTACCCTGTGGTGCAATAGGATACTAGAACTTATTCCTACCATTTGTAACTTGTACTCATTATCTAAACTCTCCCTAATCCTCCTGTACATTTCCCTGTCCCTGGTAAGCACCATTCTACTTTATACTTCTTCAAGGTCAACCTCTTTTAGGTTCCATTAAAACATGTGAAGTGAGATCATGGGGTACTTGTCTTTCTGTGCCTGGTTTATTTCACTTAACACAATGGTCTCCAGTTTCATGTATGTTGCTGCAAATGACAGGATGTTGTGCTTTTATAGCAGACTAGTATGTCTTTGTGTACAATATCACATCTTATCCATTCATCAACTGACAGACATGTACATTGTTTCCATTTCTTGGCTCTAGTGAATAGAGACCTAATAGATAAGGATGAGTGCCTACTGATTTAGTTTCCCCTGGATATATATACCCAGTAGTGAGTTCACTGGAATATATAGTTCTATTTTTAGTTTTTTGAGGAACCTCATACTGTTTCCATAATGACTGTAATAATTTATAAATAAACACTTTAATCCAGACAGCTCTGAGAGTATAATCTTGCTCTGAAACTCTGTAGACAGAGAGCTTTGGGGATGCAGTTTCTCTAAAATGAAGGGATTAATATCTCTTCATAAGATGCTTATGAAGATTAAATGATATCATGTTTGTAAATAATTTAGAATGGCTTCACTAACATGTTTAAAAATTAAGGAAATAGTAAACCATTGAAAATACACCCCCCCACACACACACATGCCTGCATAAGGATGCGGATTCATAATATGCTAGGGGTGGTATGGGAGGATTAAATGAACTCTAGATAGGGCAAAGGGGAAATGGGGAGGGAGTGGAAAGGAGGGATATAGGGGTAAGAAAAATGGTGAAATGCAATGGTCATCATTACCCCAAGTACATGTATGAAGACACGAAGGATGTGACTCTACTTTGTGTACAACCAGAGATATGAAAAATTGTGCTCTATATGTGTAATAAGTATTGTAATGCATTCTGTTGTCATATATAACAAATTAAAATTAAAAAATAAAAATAGCATTAAAAAAGAGCATATTTTATATTAAGCAAGCATTGTAAAAAATATTGCATTTTTTACTTGTTGCAAATTGATTGTATTAAAAAAAACTAATTTTATGTTTTATTTTACTTTTTGTTTTGTTTCTTTCACATGTGTGTGTTTTATCCCTTTAATTTATAAAACATCTGGAAGTAACTCATATTGCACTCCATAAATATGCATAAATATTATGTGTCAATTGAAAATTTAAGTATTTTATATGCACATTTTTTCCCCCAGTTTCTGATGCTAAAAGGTTGGGATCCTTTCTTTGCTTGCTACCCAGGTGCTAGAAATCCTTCATGGGGCTTTTCTGCCCAGCACTTTGGAATGCAAACTCCCTTGAGCAAGCACTTGTTTAGCATAATTTCACCTGGGTCCTGTCTAAGGGAGTCAGCGAATATTAAAATAGTCCTAACAATAAAATAGCACTCGGTCAACTGTGAAGCCTTCTTCTAAGGGGGAGGAGAATAGCTCACTTTCCCTGAAGGTCCTAAGAAAGATCAATTTACAGGCTCCAGTATGGGGTGGGACCTGCCTCCTTTCCTCCATCTTGGTACTGACACATGCCTCTGGTGACCATCCTTTTGCATCAGAGCACAGTCTGGGCAGGAATGTTACCAGGGCTCCCTCTCTCCCCCATCCAAAATGTACACAGTCCTTTTTCTGACCTGGCTTGTGATTGGAGGCTGTTTGCTTTGGATTATAACCTCCAGGACCCCTCTGTCGGTTACAGCCTGTTTCTATTATTCTTAATAAAACTTAAGGCACCTGCAGTGGGGTGTGAAGAAAAGTAAAAGACCTGCATTTTCTCATCTACAGGTACCAGAAGCAGAAGGCCAATAGCAATCCAGGCACCTGAGTAGGCCCAAAGCTGGCATCTGCCCATGTGTCCCTTCCGGATAGACTATTCACCACCATGAAGGATCTTCTTCAGTATGTCGCCTGTTTCTTTGCCTTTTTCTCCACTGGATTTTTGATTGTGGCCACCTGGACAGACTGTTGGATGGTGAATGCGGATGACTCTCTGGAGGTAAGAAGTCTGCACCTTCTTTTTTGACCCCCATTGTAAATTTCCTCCCAGCCCCACTGCCATATGTAAACCTCAGTACACTTCCTAGGATTAATGATAGCAAAGATAGCCACCAGGGGCAGAGTTATGACCTTAAATCTTTACATTATTAGTTCATTTAATCCTCACACTAATTTTCAAGGTAGAAACAGCTGTCATCCCATTTTACAGATGAAGTAACTTCATAATCCCTATTTTTCATAAGGTGAAATTCAATAAAGTATAATTCCATCATTCCTGGCAGAGTCCTCCAGAAATTCACCTCTTCCATTGCTACACGCACCAAACTGAACAATGTTCCAGTAACAGCCTTTTTGTTAGACTCGATGACAGCATTAAGGGAACTTAATAGATTTTCTAAAGTGGTGCTAATAATCTAAGACATCAAGTAGTCCAACTCAAGGCATATAAAACCTCCCCACTTGGTAGACAATAGGAAAATGTCATTTTATTGAATTTCCAAGCTGAATAAAACATTCCAGAGGAAAGTTTTCCACAGGGACTTAGAAAATATCCTTTCTTAAATATGAGAACTGCCTGTTATGCAAGAGAGGAGGAAGTTCACATTTGAAGATTTTATTTTTCTCACTGATGAAGCTCAGAAAGAAGTACATTTGAAGTTCAAAAGTATTTTCTGTGGCCATAGGAATCTGAGAATTGTAGAACTGAGCAAAAGCCTAATCTTTGGCATCAGCAGCTATTCATTAGTAAGCTTTAGGAAAGTGTGGGTAAGAGAAATAAACGATGTATCAGGAACTCAAAGAATCTACAGCGACACAATTTGCCTTTTTATGTACATCCTGGAGGGAACAATTTATCCTAACAAATGCTGTACTGTCATTTCTGCAAAGTTTAGGAAAGATACTAAAGAGCACGTTGGTATGTTTTTTTTTCTTCTAATATTATTTATTAGACTCTCAAGTTGGAGTTAGAAATGGAAAGTAATTATCTTTCTATTTTGGTGTGCATTATTTTTGCTGTTTATTTGTTCTTTTAATTTTCTTCTGACATCTACATGACATTTCAAAACCAGTGGAGTTATAAATAACTCCTTAGTGCTAGAAAATTATATTTCTAAAATCAGTGATAGAATTGAACTACCATAAAGGATGTCTCCTTTAAAGTGAGTCCAGTGATATATTTTATCTGGCAGTGAATGAAAAATAAAAGCCTTTTAGAGACTGCTGGGGGAAAAGTGCAGATAAAACATTCTACTGCCATTAGTTTGCCATTATCCAGACTGCCAATAGTAAGTGATCAACAGAGAAATATGCTGGACTTGAGCATACTTACAACTGCACTCTTACAAAATGATTTTAAAATACACAAAATCACATCCAAAGACATCGTGACAGTATTTTCTGAAACAATTTGAAAGGCTTTCTGCTTAAGGTGACAGAGTTTCTAACTTTACTTATTAAGAAATAGAGTTTTAGGCAAGGTAAGAGTCAAGACTTGTCAGAGAAAGATTGGGAATCCTGGCTTTTAAAGGCCTTCTTCCTTTTATTTCAGTACATCCAACAGATTTACCATCTTCCTTGTATAAGAACACACCTAATTAAAATTAATAGAACAAGTAGTCCAGGTCATTCACCTAAAGTAAATCCTCACTAACATTGAGCAAGAGTCAGTGAGTATTTCATAGTTCTCTGTTATCAAAAATGGAAGATTGAAGTCTTTATATGTAAGGAAGAACCCTATTTCAAGTGAGGCCCCCTTCTGTTTCAATGATCTCTTGTCAATATTTTTGAAGGGACAGGAATCTGTCATACTAGCCATTTCTTCATTGGGCCAGGATACGAAATCATCATTTTACCCACAAATTTGGAAGTTCTGATTCTCACTGACTCAATTATACCACTCTTTCTCCTTTATATATCACTGTGGTCCATCCTAATAGCTCACTTTAAGCCACAAAAGTGAACACAATAAAAATGTTAAGGAAGAAAAGAAGAATACCTGTGAAAATGTGAGAAGTATTAGAGAGTCATAGCTTTGTTAATATTTTAGGATGATATAAGCATGAGAGTTAGAAAATGGGTTTTATGTTTCAATTCAACTTACAAATATAAAAAGCATATGTCATATGAAAGTTACTGGACTAATCCTATAAGGGAAGGCAAAGAAAAGGCAAGAATGGGGTCCTGCCTTCCCGCGGTGTACATTGAAGGTGGAAGAAAGGGACATGCAAGTATAATAAAACACATTGGTTAATTCATATTTTGAGAAAAAAAATGAACAAAGCACTACTGGAATAGATATGATAGTGCGATTATTTCCTATTAGGGACACTGAAGCCTGTCTCATCAAAGAAGAGGTTTTGAGCAAGGGTTCCCAAAGACGCAAAGGATTTCAAAAGGTAGCAATGGCAGCAGGGGCCTTCTAGATGAGAGGACAATGTGGCAAAAATACAGAGTGAGGAAAAGCTCAAGGCTCGTTAGAGGATTAAGATGAGTAACATGAAGCAAGGGGCTGAAAGAGCTCAAATATTCTTTGGTCTTACTACAGTGTACCTGCCTTGAAGAGTGAATGTTCTTTGTATTAAATGTTTGAACAATTAAAAAAGCACCCAGGATTGTGCTGTGCACAGCCCTAAATCACGGATCCAAGGCCCTACAGCTAAAATCCTGCTCTTACATCAAGGTTCACTGTGTTTCTGGAAAGACCATTGTGGTGAAGAGAACTTGGGCCTGAGATTTTTCAAGGCTGTGTTCATGTCCCATATTAACTGCCTTCTACTGTGATGAGCTCTTGTCTGCTGTTCCTGTCTGTAGTTCACTGCAGCTCATATTCTTTAATTGTAAAATTAAACTCACATGTTCCTAGGGTTCTTTTTGGTCTTTGCTGTCTTTAACATCAGACTTCCTGACTCTGTCTGCAACCCCAGAAAGATGGCTGGTCACTGGACAAGTGGTTCCTGAAGTTCCCTAGACACTTCCATTAGGAACCTAATGGGAATATTCTCTGTTTCGCTCTTGCTCCACATACCCTTCCTCCAATCGTTTTTTTCTCCCTTTCTCCCATTTTTAATTTTTTTCCTTCCTTCCTTTTTTCTTTCCTTTCTTCTTCTTCCTTTAACCTCTTCCTCTTCTTTCCTTTACCCTTTCTCCTTCCCTCCACTTTCTGTTTCTCCTTCCGTTTATTTCTCGGTTATCTTTTTATCCCTTTCTCCTTCACCTCTTAATCTCCCCTTTCTCGGCCACCCTCTACAGTCTATCTTCTTTCATTCCACAAATGCTCCTGAACTTTTGCCATTTACTGTAACAGGTACAAAATTATGGGGCTTCGAACATCCTTAGGTTACACCCAGTGTAGCAAAGGACAAAGACAGGTGAACTGATAGTTACAGTATGGTGTGGCAAGTCCTGCAATAATGAATAACCCTGAGTGGGCAGCTCGCTCAGTCTTGATATATCAGTGAATTCTGCTCAAAAGAAAAAAAAAAAAAAAAAAAAAACATCTAAACTGGACTTGAAAACCAGGCAAAAGTGCCAGGAGAAGTAGAGGGTGATCCAATCAAAACAAATGGTATGCACAGAGATCCAGATACAAAAGCACTGTATGTTTGTGATTGTATGTATTTCAGCATGGTAAGAGAGGAAAATAAAATACAGGGTCTGGGTTATCAAGGGCTGTATGTGTCGTGTATACTATAGATCTTATTCTACAGACAAGGGTGTTTCACTGTAAGAAAAGTGTAGGTGCCCTTTATAGAGATAAAGCATGCTTTTATTTATGAGTAATGATTGGAAACAGTAAAGTGAAATATGAGGAGACTAGGAAAATTTTGCTGCAGACCAGTAGAAAAACAATGATGGTCAGAACTATAATAGTGACAGGCACAAAAAGATATGTAAAGATATGAGAAACTCTAAGATAGCTCAAATTGGTGAGATTGAAAATTGACGGCATGTGGAAAAGAGGCGATAAAGAGAGAAGCTTCAATGTTGGATCTACCTTACCACTTTGGGACAATTGGAGGGGAAGTTGAGTCACTCACTTAGGGTATAAGTGGGGGAAAATTAGTTGCAATACCAAAATCATCATGAGAAATATTCCTGGATCATGCCTGCTTTTTTCTGGTATAGTTTATCATATAACATCTGGAGGCAGGAACACATTTGTGTGTGTGTGTGTGTGTGCAATTATTTTCCACATTTTTTATTGGTGTATTATAGTTGTACGTATTCATGGGATTTGTTACATATTTGTACAAAAATAAAATATGACAGTGTCATTTGCCCAATATCACTCTCCAGCATTCCCCTGCTCTCTCCCTATCTTCCATCCCTTGGTCCTATTTATGTACTGATCTCCCCGTTTTAAGGAGATCTACCTCCACCTTTGTTTTCCTTTTTCCACTCTAGCTTCTGAATACAAGAGAAAACATACAACCCTTAAGCTTCTGAACTTGACTTATTTCCATTAACATGATGATCTCTAGTTCCATCCATTTTCCTACAAATGCCATAATTTAATTATTCTTTATAGCTGAATAAAACTTCATTGTTATATATACTACATTTTCTTTATCCGTACATCTGTTGATGGACACCTGGGCTGGAGGAAGACAGTTCTCTACAGTGGGTAAGAATGCAGGGTTAGGCTTGACACTAGAGGGGACTGAGGTTAAATCCCACCTCAGTGGGATTTTTACTGTGTGATTTTTAAATTGCTACAAACCTGATTTCCTCTTCTGCAAAGGGAAAATGATAATACACATCATAAATTGCTCATGAAGATTAAGTAAGCTTGTGTATCTAAAGCATTTATCACATCACCAGGAAACTATAATCAGCCAATACATGTTGGCTGTATTATGATTGATTTGTGGTTCATTGTTTTGTTTTTGTTCTGAAGGAGGAGATGACATTTTGTATAATATTCACTTAACAGAGAGAGATGAGATTTAAGTACTAGTCCTATTTCCCTATTGATCTTGTGAAGAAATCTTGTGTATT